CCAACACAATGTGTTGATAAGGCGCGTCATTAACTCGCACATATCAACCCCTTTAGTTTTCATTTACAGAGATTTCAAAATAGGCAAACAGCATAAAAAGAGAATTCACGATCCAACACTGCGAGGTCAAAGACGCACCTTGACGAGACCGTGTATTGTGAAAGTAGAAAGCTATTCGATCGAATTTAAGTTTTNCCAAAAAAAACGTGTATCGACTATAGCATTATAATGGGATTTTCGTTGTTTGTAATACTCTCCTTTTACAAAGATATATCCAACTTAGTGAAATCTATTTACAGTGGCCTGACGGGTAAGGTCACTCTCCCCGCTTCATCCTTTTTAAGTTTTAAAAACTGAATGAATCTCGTTCAAATTACGAGAACGGAAGTTACGAAACCGGAACTCAACCTTTGTTCCAAAAATATGCCTAGCAAAAACGGGAAGTCTGAAAATTTTCTAGGACTCTTTTAGTTTATTGTCATGAGCATAATGCGGTTAAAAATAGGTCAATAATTTAGGATGAAGAAAATGATTTTGTGAGGACTGAGCTATTTTTACAGCAGGTTAAGTCAGTAATTGATCGATGATAACGCCTCTGCACCAAGTAATTTTCTTTTCTGAGTTCTGGAAATTGGAGCTGTGTATACACTTACTTTGCACGTAGTGTTGAGTAAATACTAGGTGTTATCTGCATCACAGAGTTTCATGAAATGGATTAAGCAATTCCTCTGTTTTCAGCAGTAAAAACTTGACTAATCTTCTCTAAATCGTTATCTGATATTGATCAAATTTTTAAAAATTTTCGAGGAGACCGCGGAAAAATGCCCTTTCCAAGCTATCACTTGATCAAAAATGAAGAACCAACATACTCTTTAAAAGCTGAGGGTGTTGCCTTTCTAATGGTATAATTGCAATTTTTCTAGCTTCGATAGTCGTTGAGAGAAAAAAAGTTGTAAAGGGAACCTTACTTTCTGAACGACTTTTTTATAATTTGTGCGGAGTTCACAATACTTTAAGCAAATAAAACATTAATGCATCAATTTAAGTAATTGGTAACAACGTCCATCGCTGAGGATGAGATCTAAGATGACCAAGCCGACCAAAAATGGATCTTTTATTATCCAAACACTCTCGGGTATTCTAGTCCGGCTCTGATTAGTTCAGTTTTTTCTATTGAGAATTTCGCCGCCTGATAACGTCTTTCTTTGCGGAGAGCATCTTATTAAAACCTTTAAGAAATGAGAAAAGTGCATTAAAAACGTTTAAAACTCTTTTTCTCTCATTAAGAGGAAGAAAAAGTCATCCGGAGCAGTAGCAGCGGAGAGGCGACTAATGGTGGCGGAGGGTGCGCGATTGTTGAAAGTTTATCTGCCGCCTCAGTGAGCTGAAATTGTGATGACTTTCCAGATTTATGGCTCAGGGTTGCAGCTTGATTTATATTATTTCCAGCGCACCGTGCCCCATAAAGACATATCCTATTAGATTTCTCGAGATATCCTAACCTACTAAATTTAGGGTGGACAGGTGCGCCTGGCTTACTCTTTATTTACAGACCCTTACGCTTGCTAATAGCGTCACGTATGGTTGGAAATGTAATGGTTCCAAATCTACAACCGTATAATAGCAGGATAAAGCAGTTTTATGGGGTTGATTAAGAAACCAATGATTATTGCGCGTGAAATGAAAAGGAACGAAACCTCTCAAAAACATAATAAATGCCACTTTTTTTTGTCCTTTGGTTCCCTTTAATTTTTCCTCCCTGTTTTTGCCGTAAATGTTGATTGGATGGGCCAGCTTCGTACGTCGTAAAACAAATCATTAATTGTGATGGAGTCAGCGAAAATGTAACTTCAGGTGGAAAGTCAAATGACATAATGCAGTGAAACACCGGTTAAGAATATCGATTTTCGGTTTCCAATACTAAACACTATTCCTAAACACGAAAGCGACTCTTGGAAGAATAATTAAATTCAATTTAATTCAATTTTAATTTCAAATTTATAAATTTTTTAAATTCAATTTTAATTTCATTAAAAACTTGCGACTTTTAATCGAAAAATCCCGTGCTATGCGAGAAAATTGTTGACAATTGAATTGTGTGATTTATGACTCTTCAGTTTTATTCAAAATTCCTCGCCCAAAAGTTTGATGACTAAAAGTCCCATTCACGTTAAGTTTTTACATGCGAGCACTGTTCTGAAGTATCACGTGCTTCTCATAATTTGAATACCTCCTGACAGTTCCTCTGAAACAGCCTTCACTTAGGCTTGATACCACATGTAGTGCATCGAATCGCGCTTGAGGATATGTACATGAACGTGATTACATTCGTTGCTACCATTGAGGGCTCATCTCTGATTCTCTGTTGTTCCTCTTTTTCCATCCTCTGAAGATATATATCAATGGCTAAATTCGAAAAATGCATATCTTCATTTAACCTTTTCATAATATCCGATTATGTTTTTTTTTGCCTACAAGGAAACTATACAACATAAACTAATCAAATTTTTTGTCAATTGGATGAGCGCAGAAAATTGAAAGAATCACAAAAAAAATGTCACTTTTCTCCTTGAAAAAAGAAAAAAAGCAAGCGACGAATGGCGATTTGCAACGTTGCAAACGGGAATTCATTTTTCCCCCTTTAATATTTTAGCCATCGATATTCACCACTTCGGTTTCATGAGTTTGATAACTAGTCAGGTAAAGTTGATACCACTTCATGATATTTGACTGTCGTGGCTATAATGTCACAAGAGTATCACGAATAAACAATCGAAGATGACTTTAAATGCTTGGAATACAAATTAAGGAACTAAAACTCTGAAATCTCAACAGCCGGACGGAAGATACACCGGACAGATCTGATAGAAAATTTGATAATGTAAACAGGGAAATTTGGCAAAATCTTTGCAAAAAGTTTATCCCCTCTAAACTCATATTGCAGCTCATTGTGGAGGGCAGTGAATCGTACCCGGGTCAAATTCCTTGCTCGTCAAAACGCGGAGGGGACCTGAGTTTGGAGCGCGAAGAATGGGTCCTCCTCAAAAAATAGTGGACTTCGGCGAAGGAACCATAAAAAGTTACTTTGTTTAATGAAGTGAATATGATATAATAATCTATATTGACTGTCTGACCGATTTTAGCACACAATAGACCTTGAATGTTTACCGAACTCACATTGGCGAGAGTGTCATCACAGTTGCCTGATTTGGCAAAAAGGGGACGGAATATCAACGGGTGCGTTCAAGCCACAAAAACACATGGTCTCGTAATTTCTTTTCCAGCGTGGAAGCACCTAACATGATCTCGTAATTTCTTTTTAAAATGTTTTTACCCTATACCTGTGGGGTTACAGATACAACTTTTGATTTCTTCTCTGGATGTTCTTTATTCTTGAATTGCTCCTGCGTTTGAGACTATGGCTAATTCTATTCCTAGTCGAACAAATCAGCTAAATTTCACAGCCAATCGAATAGGAGTTTACTTTGGTTAATATTCAGAAAACTGTGAAGTATTCTACAAGTAGAACACGTATCGGTAGTGATCTTTTATTCTAACGTTAATATTGAGGCTTTCTTCATTTTTTATAATTTATTTTGGTGAGCTAAAATCAAGACGATACGTTAATCAAGGAATAATCACGCAAATTACACACTATGTTACTTGGAATTTCAACGTGAAACACAATAAAAGTTCCTAAAATGTGTTTAAGTGTAAGTAATTTATTTGTAATAACTGCTGTTATCTCATTGTTCAATTATAGTACTCGTGTTGTTTTAATCGTAGCAAGCGCTACAATGGTTTTGCCGCGTTTGCCACGAACTCTTGAATTATCTATTAAGTGAACCAAAAATTCTGATTTCAGAACCTAAACTTTTTTCAGTAGACCCAACAATTTCCAGTAAATTTTCCTTTTCCCCCTCTTTTATGACATTTTGGCGGAATGTTCTAATCCTTCAAAGGGCGTCCACTATTGTTGACCAAAGGCACGAAAGGAACAGAGGGAGGAATGTCAAAGGATCAAATATCAATTCCTTAAATCGAGGTTTGATGGATCGTCCGACCTTGGTTACTCTCGGTCTCTCAATAATTGTTGCCTCCGTCCTCGCAAAAGGGATCCCGTGAGATAAAGGCCTTTTTCAACGACGATCTCACATCTAAGTGGAATTCAGAGACGGCAGTACGTCTTTTAAGAGTCTCGTCTCCAGTCGATTTGCTACTTAGGTAAATTAAAAATATCCAATCTTGCGTGTCATTCTAGAAACTCCACTTGTCGGCTGTCTGATTTTTTGCTTTGACGTTGTTCTGTTCAGTCAGCTCCAAATAAATAAACCCTCCACAAAATGTAAACCAATTTATAAAGAAATCATAAAATGATTCGATCATTTTGTGAACGGACACCTAAATATAGATAGTTGCCATTACATAGCTGAGCAACGAGGGGGCCTACAAGCTATAAAAACCGTCTCACTTACATGCCTCTATTTAGAATTATTTACAATGAGGAGAAGACAATTAGTTGGGTTTTATCCAATGTTTCATCATTTGAAATGACAACAATTCCAACAGACTGTTAAAAAATAAAAAATAAATAAAATCATACGTTGAAAACCTTTGACACCACAAGTTTGAAGAATCGCGTCAAACACAGTGCGGTCAACGCGGGACGCGGGGCTGGCGCGCGGGGCGCGATACGCATAGCGCCTTACAAGACCGAAGGATACTTCATGCATTGCGCGTACAGCACGGTGCGCGTGACGCATATAGTAGCGCCTTACAAGTCTGCAGGATACTTCATGCATTGCGCGTCTACCACGCTGCTCTCTCAAATCGTTCGAGCTCGTATTGCTTTTAACTGTATTTTGCACAACACTACACTTCACCAATTCTTTCTTAAAATACACACATTTCTTAATTTAGTGCTTCAAATATTCATTTTTCAATTCATATGTGAATTTAAAATATTAGGATAAGGATCGAAATAACTGTAATTGTGTAAATAAATGTTGCATTTACTGTTTTATTTAAGGCTTAACAATTAATGCAGTTACAAATATGCCTGAATGAATGATCAATGAATGATGTAAGAATCAATGAAGGTTGAATGTGCTGTTTTTTCTCCCTCTTATTTTCAGCTGATCATTGAATCTTGGCATATGCCCTGATGCAGCTAGTCGTTGTAGTGCCATTTTCCATGAATTCGATCGTCACTCTGTAGTTTCCTGACAGCTGATTCAGCGTGAATGATTTTAAAGTCAATGAAGAGTATTTCAATTTATAATCACCCTGGAAAACAGTTGAATAATTAAGGAAAGTAGTAAAAAATAGTAGTTAAAACATATTAGCCTAATGTAGCTTTAGAAAACATCGAAGTAAAAAATAAACTCGGAGCTTCTTGTGCATAAGGAAGAGATTAATTCCAACGCCGCTGCCATAGAGTTTTTATATGATACAGTTTCAAAATAGAGATAAATGTATTACTTAATTTGGGGAAAAGGCTGCAAATAAAGAACAAAGAATAAACAAAACCCGGAACGTTTCAAAATCGTGACAACATTTGTACACAAATGTACTACATTTTGCAAGTGGGAACCACAATTTCTAGCTTATCCGGAAAAAAAGAAGTAAAAATTGTGTGCGTGGAGACATTAATATCTCATACATTGTTTCTAAACTGAGCCAGAATTTGTGGGTACTTCCTAATTGCAAAATGTAGTCCAAATATACGTCAGTTTTAGAAACTGCGTCAGACAGGCCTGCTGATCGCAATGAAATATAAAATTTATTTCTGCATTCTGCAAGCACAGTTTCACACTGCTTAATGGTAGCGCTGATTCTCGCACACCCGGAGGTGTGTGAAATTTTGGGGCGAAAGTGCTAAACATTATTTCGGAACCTTTTGTTACATGCAACGTCATTCACATAAAATCCTAAAGAGCATTCGTAAACTGTGATGTTATAATGTAAAGTCCACAGGCCATTTTCTCCTTATATGGCATGACATCTTCGGCAAAATAAAAGAGAGATGACAATTTTTCAGGAATATCTCAATTTTCCTATAAGAGGAGGAGGAGAGTAGGCTAATTTTACTTTAAGAACGGCAACTTTGAAGGAAATCCGGCGGGAAATATGGAAGTGTATCGGTGTGAGCGCTGTCGCTCCTTCGAGGCATTCCGGGGGTGTTTTTATAGCTGTTTACGGCTTGCACCTGTCGTCCTCTATCAAGCCGTTCAGTCATGAACGTAATAATGGAGTTGCCTTTCTCGATGGCTATATTCAGGTGTCGCGATAGAAATTCGCTGCCAAGATGATGTGTCAATCATGGAGCCGTTTCTTCGTTGCCCGGATTTCTCACATATTGTAATCCTCGCGGATGTTGCCGCGCCCAGCCAACCTTCGTTACATATTTCATAGACACAATTATGTGATGGGTTGATTATTGAAGCCTCTAGTTAATGATCTTTATCGATAAATGCCTTATCGAGACCATTCGATAACACTGGAAAAAAAAGTCGCTTGGATCTAGAGTCCAGACTCTTAATTACATTGACAAGAAAAAATACTCTTGATTCAATACGACTTTTTCTTGATTTGAAGAGCCAAGCTTCTTGATTTAGGCGAATTTCCTTTTGATTCAAGCAAACAGTCTGATTGAATCAAGAGTATTTTTTCTTGTCAATGTTTTAAATAGTCTGGATTCTAGATCCAAGCTACTTTTTTTCCAGTGAACGATTCAACAAAAACCTTAAAACGGGTAGTTGCGTGCTCGTATATATGTAGGGTCCTTAATGTGCGACTGTTAAAGCTTACAACTTACCTTCAGAATGGGGCATGACGTTAAATTCGCTGCTTTTGTGAAGATTGTCCAAACCTGTCCTTCCTCTTCCATCCTCTTACAGAAGTCGTGGAATAATCTCTCATAAAAGTACACCCACTTGCCTTTCATGAATTTATAAAACGTCAATTTTATCTGCAAAATAGGAACTACAAGTTATATTCAAAATTGTGCAGGAATTATTATCTGTTAATAAATTTAATCGCGTAATTTGTTCTGAGATACTTAAGTTAAAATGAAATCATTTGATATTATTCAGATTCGCTTCATGAATATTGACCGTTGAATAGAAATAAATATTTAACTATTTAGGTATTTTCCTCGATTAATTATCATAATGCACACGAAGATGATCCTCTGTCCCTTTTTAATTGATTCTCATATCATTATCCCTTTTCACTTAAAATTCAAATCGTCCAAAGCAAGTATAAATCAGAATGGTGGTGTAAGAAATAAACACTGCGCTGACCTCTTAAAAGCTTCCTTGTTGATGAAAAATTGAACAGATATAGACCGCTATTGATAACAGAACACTTAATAACATTTAAAAATATGTTCTTGCCGAGTATTTCAATTTATTTGCTTTCCTAACTTTGGATGAGTGCAAAATATATTATCATTCGAGTTTTTTTATGAATTTATTTGTTTTTAAACAGTGGACTGATGTTATCCCACAGAAAATGAGGAGTTGCGATTTGCTGGAGGAACTCTGGCAAAATCGCTGCGAGTGGCGGTTGGGTGCCGTATGTCCCAAGCGGATGGAAATCGCAGTCAATGTGGTAAATATATTCAAACTTACTTTTAGAGGACCTGGGACGTCTTCAAGAATCTCGAAAGTGCCTGCCAACCCATTTATGTCTTGAGTCACTCGTTCCAGCTTAACATCTTTTACACTCAATTTTTTGTTTTCAAAACCTGGACAGTTCTCGATTTTCCCAACCAGGGTAATGCTGATTCCCTATGCAAGTAAGAAAAAAAGTGCGATGAAATAGGCGAGATTGAGATACTGTTGTCAGTCCGGAATGGTACAAATTATTTTGTGGCCTCGGTCTTAAATCTTGAAATTTTTTTACAAGTAACGGTTGAAACATTACATTTTTCGCCGAGGTTTTTTCCATGTAAAATGTCCGATCAATGGCACTTGTGAAATGAAGCTTAATATACACCATAATTCCCCTCTGACACCATGTGAAAAAAACATCAACGAGTTCCTGTAGACTTGTATTACCCCTCGTCCTCCACCCAACCCCCTCACGCTCGGTCACATGAATTGAACGTTCAATCCTAGGAACCAAAAATTGGTTTTGACAAACGGAATAGCTCGATCGGTAAGAAACAATGAGCGCTCACTGGGCAAAAAAAGTAACCAAAATTTTTTGTTTAGAAAGGATTCACGACACACAGCGACAGAAACTTTCAATTGCTTTTTTTATTGGTTTCTCTCTGGGTTAAACTGACCAAAGTTTTCAGTTAAATCATTCCAAACCCGTAGAAACTGTGCCAGCGCGCACGGTTGTGGAGTCAACTCCGGATTTCATCAAATTGCAACAGATGAACGGAAGTAGGGACAAATGTGAGTACATGAGATCAGCATGACACTTTACAAAGATTTTTTGGAATGACCTAAGGTTTCGGTTGATTTGACCTAAAAGAAATGAAGGTCACTTATTCTCCTCTCGATCAACCAAATCTTTTGGAGCAGGATAGTAGAACTATGCAAGGTCCAGGTCCACACTATTCTGCGGGGAAATCAAGGCCCCAAAATTGCATTAGATTGGAAAATTTGAACTTTAATGAGTATCAGTGCAAGACTTAGGAAGAGAGTGTTCAGCTCAGGCAGATTCACTTGAGCACGGAAAAAGTTCTAGGGGATATCCCCTAAAATTGTGGTACTACCTCAATTTTTTGAATGATATGGGCATTTCCAATTAATTGTGGTAGTGCCGTAACTCAAGTTAGGGTCGCACCGCAACATTTGGGGTAGTAACCTCATTCCTTGGGGTACTACCACAATTAATTGAAAATGCCCATATCATCCAACGACCCATTCCTCTGTTTTCCATGAATACCTACTAAGCCGGGGTGCTGGGTTCACACCCGGGCTCCATGTCGATTTGAGTCTTTTTAGGCTTCATTAGAAGATTACACTTGTCAAATATTCTGAGTTGATCAAACCAAAAGAATAAAAATTAACCCAAGAGAATCGAAAACATCACTGAAAAAAAGATTGGTGGAATTTACCATTCCTTCACATTGTATTTCACACAGCGTCAATTCAGAGTCAGTTCTGCCAGGAAAAAGGTAAACGTTACTATATACCTGTATGGATAACATTCCTCTGCCAGAATTTACCATTCCTCCACGCTGTGAGAAATCTAGCGTGAAGGAATGGTAAATTCTACCAATCTCTTTTTTCAGTGTGCACATACATTTTTAAATAAGCGGCTTATACGACCGAACTTTATTTTTTCAGTGAAAGGGGCACTTGAAGGTAAAAAACCAACTTACGAGCGTTTCGCTGAGCAATATGTACACACAGATTAATGAAAGGAACGCGTTGAGTTCCATCTTGGGGAGCACGGACATCTGCACTGTATTGGGGATCGCGGCGTGGAGTCCCGGATACGTTGCAGATTTGTGCGCGTGGGCGGTTTCAATTTTGGACACTTTAAATCAGGAGGAACTATATCCATCCTGACATGAGCTCTGAGATCCATAAGGATACATGCATGCTAGGCTCAAGTCGCAATGGACATAGCTCCTTCTGATTTAGATGCGTCCATTGGACGCGTCGCGAAGTGCGAAAATTGGTGGTCGGACGAAGGACGATCCGAATCCGCGATAGGGACTAATTGATTCGGTTAATCCCGAAAATGAGCCCGGAATTGTTTCCAAGTCGCGGCGGCGGGAGCGACGATTAGGGGCATCCTGCGGGAAACGGACCAATTACGTAAAAGCGTCGCGCGTCGCGGCGGCGGTGGCTGGGACGCGACGCACCAGTAAAAACGACCATCAATCTCCTACCGCTCGCGCTCTCCGCTCCTGGATCCATCCGCGCGTCCTGCCTGTTGCCATTTCATCCTTCAAAAATTGGGCCACAGATTTAGGGTCGTTTTCATAGTCGGTCTTCAAGCAGCTCTTTTCCCTAAGAAGCCCCATTTGGTTTGCGATAGAGTACACTGGAAAAAAATACAAACACATTGGATCTAGAGTCCAAGTCTTGAAAACATTGACAAGAAAAAGGACTCTTAATTCAATCGGATCTAAACTTAAATCAAAAGGAAATCCGCTCAAATTAAGAGGCTTGGTTCTTGATTTAAGCTTAAATCTGATTGAATCAAGAGTATTTTTTCTTGTCGATGTTTTTAAGTGTCTGAACTCATTTTGAAAAATTAGGTTTATGACGTCATCCATCGCGCACAATGCGGCACTCTGTGGACAAAAATAAAAAATTCACAACTCGACATCTGAATGTTTTTTTTTTTTGGAGTTTGTCATCTTACAGATATTTTTGACTCGAATAGATGGTTTATTTTTACATTTTTCGCTCAAAACTATACTTGAGAAATACACGGGAAAGAGACGTCAACTTCAAATAAAGATTTCTCGCTTGAATCGCAAAATGCTTTGAGTATGGTTGACATTTTCTTAATCCTCAGATATCCAACTTCAACTCTACCAAAAAGATCTTGCGACTATCAGAGATATTTGAAGTTTTTTGGGTGTTTCGCGTTGCTTTTACATTGTCAACATAGGGCTGATTCGAAGTTGCCAACTTTAAATGAACTTTTCTCGAAAAATATAACCCTCATTTATGGACATTCTCGGCCATTTTGGTTTGACATTGGAATCTGAAGATTGGCAGTATGACATTTTTCATTTTCAAAAGTTGGCTGTTCTTTTGGGCCGTAAGATCTCCATATTTTGACATGGCTGTGCTTTTCTTGCGTAGGTACTCTAGTTTGCATTATGTGATTGAGAAAACAGGTCTAAGGAGGCTCTCAAAATACATAAGGTATTCTAAAAAAACCGAGACTGGTCCTGTAATTTCTAAAATATGCAAAGTATTAAAATGATCTTGGTGTCATTTGAAAGATCAACTTATTATCAATTTATCATGACCAAGATCAGCTTAATCGGGAAAATTTTGACTGAGTTATGCAACTTTGAATCTAGTGAGTAAATTTTCACCCTACGGTTTTTAGAGTGATATTTTCATCACCAAAACCAAACCATCTCTAAAACTTTGATCTGGTATGCTACTTTCGCCGAAAAAATTATGGGGGAATACCACGGCAACCTGGCAACACTGTTCCTTAGTCGTTGGTTGTCGTCGCCCGACCACGTGGACAAGTTGTCCAAAAGACTGAAATTCCCGATCGGCCAAAAAAAGTTACGCGGGCCAAGATTTGAATTGAAGTCTTAGATCTAGAAAAGTCCACAGCTTTTTCAAACCTATTCCATACCCAGAATTCAGGAAAACGATGTTTGAGAAGTGGCAAGACCGCATGAGAAAGTGCATAAGTTTAAATGGACAGTATCTCGAAAAACAAAAGGAACTTATGAAAAAGTCAGAAAAAAGCGGAAACAAGGATTAACTTTTTGATTCCTCCCGAGAAAAGCCCACCGTCGGCCCGTAACCTCCATAGGCTCCAAAACGCTTCAAAACGCTCCATAACTTTACGTCGCGTCGCACGGTGGACAGACGAAATTTGGGAACTTTAAACGCTTATAACTCCGTTTATACAAAACTTTGAGGTTCTAAAGGTGGTTCCATTGGTTTCCTGGTGAAATTTTCCTCTTAAAGCACCCCTCAATATTTAAAATGTGACGAATTATACAACAAAATTTGCAATTTTAGACAAAAATTTCATGTCCGACCTCTCTGATTGACTCGAGATCCATTGTGCGTAGCATCGTACACGCCAAAAAGATTTAGTAACTCTGACTTAACCCCTCTCTATTCGAAGAAAATTTGGAAAACTCCTTTCTGAGAGAATTAGCGTCATCCGTGAGAAGACTACGCACAAAATCAAAAAATTTGACGTGTTATTTTTTAAACCAATATCATTTGTTTAAGTTATTCTATACAAAAATGTTACCCGTCCAAAATTGAATTTTCTCATTAACTCAATGCAAATCAAACAGGATTGCCAATTGACTTACTCACGGGATGCTACCCTATGTTAATATTATGTAATCTTGATGAATAGCAGTTCATGTCAGAGGCTCCTCTTTACGGAATCGAAACGCGAGTGTGGAAAACATAATCATTACAAATCTGAATGACTTATTTTTTACGTCGCGAGACCATTGCTTGTTAGCGACGATGGAGCTGGCGAGGTTCGATCGCGTGCGTGTAATGATGGCAGGAACCAGAGGCTGACAAAAACGGTTTAATTCTCTGAGGCCTGAATATTAAACATATTTTCCCGATATACTTTTTTAAAATGATACCTACCAGTCACATCTATACTAGCAGCATTCCTTCGTTAAAATTAGTGCTCAAATGCTCATTTTGTGGACCAAAATACCAGAGTGCACGGAATTTAATTCCCAGTCAAAAATATTATTAATATGAAATCTAAAAATAAAAAATGACATTTCCACTACGAACAAGCGTAATTTTTTTTAAAGCGATTCATGATTTTCTCTCTCTCTTTTCTACTGTACATTTGCAGTGTACAGACAAAATCGACAACCGCAGAAGCAGGTTCCATTCATTGAGACTATCTTTTTATGTATTGAGCCGTCAATATTTACAGTAGGTCGCGTAGGTCTGTTTTGCATAAACTAATTTTAAGTCCGTAATTTTAAAAAAAAATGATTGGTTTGGAATGTAAATTTAGAAAAATGTATGTATGTATGTATGTATGTATGAGCCGCTTTTACGGCGCGCTAGGGCGCTCTGCGACGCCTACTCTCCACAGGAATCTGACATGGTAGAGATCCTCCGGAAGCTGGCATCTCTCCATCTCTTCACGGATGCCCTCTACCTACCGTTTGGCTGGACGCCCTCTCCGTCGCCTACCTGGGGGGACCCGAGGACCCACTCCAACACCTTCTTCGGCAACCTGGTATCAGCCATTCTCTAGAAAAATGTAATTTTTTAAAACTAACAAAAACAAATTCAAACGTTAAAGTGTAATCTTGGAAAAATAGGCAGTGAAATTCCCCCAAAATTTTGAGTTTTCCTCTTTCTTCTGAAGGTTTGACTCCAAAAGATTTCCATGGACGTTTCTTATCCAAAGCCTATATTTTCTTGTTTTTTACGGCAAATAATCAAAATTTAGCTGAAAATTGTTAGGTATTAATTTTATGTCCCTCGTTACCCAGTTGCCTTATGTTTATTGAAAACAGATTTAAATTAATTATGCATAAGAGGGAAGCAAGAGGTAAGTCTCTCTTTCGTTTATGTTTAACAGTGAAAATTAGTGCGAGACAAGAAACCATGTTCAAATTGGTTCACGTTGTCTCTATGTATCGTGCTAGCTGTTCCGGGAGCGAGCCGTCATAGCCAACCAAAGGGATACCGCCCCTTGGACCCCGAAGCAATCGCTCCGCGCTTTCTGAAATGACTCCTTATTTTTTTAATTTCCATCCAAATATCCTTACGAAACTTGTGGGCCCTGCGCAAATGGCGTGATGGTATTATTTTAACATCCGCAGAGCAAGAAACTGGGTAACGAGAGACAAAAAATTAGTAACCATTTTCAGCTAAATTTTGATTATTTGCCCTTATAAACGATATGATATAAGCTTTGGATCAGAAAGTAGAATATTGACTCAAAGGTGGTCTTCACAGGAATAAACATGAAATTTTGCCAACCAATTTTGATGAGCACACTGCTCAATTGGTTTCAGGACATTTTGTCAACGATTTTTTGTCCGCGCACCTTTTTTTTCCAGTAGTTTACCCCCACGCGTATAATAAGCAACGGTGACTTGGTTCAAGCGTTATATTTTAGTCGGTATGTAAAATTATATTGACAATATGGAAATGAGAAATTGAGAGAGAAGGAGGTATTGTTATGGTTGCTCATTTTCTGAATGAAATGTAATTACTTTCTCCTTTTGAATCATCTTTTTAAATTGTCATTGGTGAATCTTTGGTTTTATCTCTATCCTTAAAATATTCGATGTACAATATACCTTATATGTGTATAGGTGTTTTTTTTTTTCTTTTTTTAATTTTTTCTTTACGAAATTATTACTTCATTTATATTTTTAAAACGTGACAAATATTTGTAAAACCTTTTCCAAGCGACATTAATCTCAATAAGCCGCAGTTGTGCCGACAGAAACCACAAAAATGAATAAAAGAGGGAAATAACCAAGAAGCACGCAATCTTTAGGTGTAACCCATTTGTACGTCGATCTTTTAGAGTCAAATACGTCAAATTTTAAGCGTTTGGTTGCGCGTACACCTCGCTGCAGCACAATAATAGCACAAAATGTAAAAGAAAAAATTAAAGTGCTTTAGAAATCATTAAATTTGACACGGAGCCACCAGTATTTAAAAAACACACATTATATTATTATTCTCTTTTGATAAATTGATACTTATTTTTTTCCCATCAATTTAAATGAGAATAATCAATGCAGTGTGCAAACATTTCAAAATCATGAGTTAAAAAACGCAGACTATGCGAGTATAAATATTAATAAAGCCTAACAGAGCGGGGCAGCGTGCTGCTAGCGCGAGAGGCTCACTGGCGCCTACAAACCTAAGTGGATACTTCACGCATTGCACAATGCTTGAAGTATCCACTTAGGTTTGTAGGCGCCAATGCGCGTTCCGCGTTGGCCGCCCGTCAGCCGTGCGGCGGCGCTTGAAGCAACTATTTCACAACAGAGGTGTTGCAAAGTATTATACGAAATTGAACGTATTAAGAATGAAAGGCATCCTTTAAAAGTACCGCCCTTTCCTCGCAAAATAAATCAAGATACTTATCGTACACTGGAAAAATCTAAGAGCCTTTAGCTGAGGCAAATATAGAGGTTTATCCGGTTCAGGTATAACAAGGTGGGAAAATCTTGAAAGATAATTAAGTCCTGTTACACCAAAGAGGTGTAGAGAGTTTTAGTGAATTTTGTCTCATGGAATTGACGCTCCCCCACTTTTACCAAAACTCTCAACTATATATTATTCTCCGCTGGACCAAACAGACAAAACAAAAAAAAACAAGCAAACCCTCATTTTTCCAAGACATTTTACATTTTCATCCAAAAACTTCGAGTAAACGTCGTGTATTTACATGTGGACCAATTAACTTTGAGACTCAACTGGTACGTGGACCAAAACTCCAGTGCCGAAAAAACGCGTGGACGTAAATTACTGGAAAAACCAGGTACGCTGACGAAAAATCGTTGACAAAATGTCCTATAACCGCTCAATTTATTAGGAAGTTGGTTCTCTATACTGACTCAATCCCTCCGATTCAGATCTGCATACTGCATACTGAGATGTTAATAGAAATTGTATGTTAGAGACTTACGTGAAAGCTCAATTAGTTAGCTTAATTTGTGAGTTTTAATGAAAAATAACTTACAATTTGAGGGTCATACTCTGGAAAATTGCATTTATTTATTTAAAAAAATATATATTTCTACGATAAAATGTCCGAAAATCTCGTCTATCTTACACCTTTTTGAAACAATTTCCTCGATAGCTGAAGATCAGTTAATCTATATCGACTAAAGCACGTAGCGGAATTTACATGCTTGGCACTAACTGAAGCGCCTAAAATAAAGAGTGGTTGGGATTATATTTAAAATCACCAGTCATAAAATGAATGCACATTATGACTCCTTCGGTGATTGTAGTTAATACCCGCCTTACGAAGTTTCCGGAGTAGAATCAAGAATTCAATTGAACCGTGCCTTAGTCCTTCAATTCAGGAAATTTAAAAACTTTTGGTTAGCGTTTCGTCACTGGCACTAAAAAAACGTCAACAGTCCAATTCTTCTTTAAATCGGTCAAATGTTGTCACCAAATATTGCCCAATCAGTGACATTTGCTGAATACTTGCTAGGGTAGCACAGCTTTTTCGGGGACATTGGAAGTGAGTTTTACTTTTTCGTCAAAAACGTTATGACATATTTATTACGGGTTAAGATTTGTATTTAACACAATTAAGGCGCACATCCTCGAGAAGATGACTACTTCTACAAGAAGTACTCTTGCTGAACTAAAGACCTCAAAAATTGAAGGTAACAATTGCAATTCGGTTACTTTCTGTGCCCTCTAATCGTCAATTTTGATTTCTCTTAATTTTTCATCAAAAAGCGTCATTACTCTTATTCCATTTCTCCATTCCGAATATGAACCAACGAAGGGAACAAGATGGAGAAACGGTGCTGGGTCCACACACCATTTCGCGGGAAAAACGAAGCCAAGAAGGTATCCAAAAATTGTAATTAGAGTCAAAAATAATTTTTTAACTCTAATGAGCTAATTTTTGGAACTTCTTGGCCTCATTTTCCCCGCGAAATGGAATGTACCCAGCACCATATCTCCACCTTGTTGCGTACAGTATTCGGGCCACTTCTCAGTGTATTTTTCTTAACTAGGGGAATGAAGGGGTTACTGTAAAAATACAAAACAATCAAATTTTCCCCCAACAGCTTAAGCCTTTTTATTTTTCATGTCTTTGCAATCTAATGTGTATGAACATTCAGCTACGACGATATATTGGATCTGACGAAGTGTCTTAATTGCTGGAGCGCTAGAGCACTGTTGCTGTGAAGTGTCACTTCATGGAGGCCTTGGTCATTTTGCCAGAGAATTCGAAGGTACTGCTCCCTGTGGCGGTGGTGATTTTGATCTGACCGGCAGCTGTTCCTTCCATCATGGGTAGACTCCCTCTGTGGTGAGCAATACTCACCTCCTCGTCTTTCTTGCAGACTTTACCCTGGAATATAATTTATCACAATGTGAAAAGTATGAAGTAAGATTTATAATAGTAGTAAATTTTTTCTCGTAAATTTTAAGGAAAAGTGTGGTACGTTTTTTTTATATAAACTTCCTTCCTGCGAGCAAAAGCAGGGCCGGACTAAGGGGGTGGCCACATGGGCCGCGGCCCATGGCGGCAAATCTATAGGGGGCGGCAAATTTTGCAATTCTTTTAAATGTAGGTATAAAAAAATTGGGATTTAGAAAAATAATTACAAACGAGAAAAGGCGACAAAATCTCTAATTTTCTGAGAGTAAAGTAATTTCTACTTTTGTCGTCTTTCAGTGATACAAGAGACAGCACCTTTCATTAGTCGAGTTAAGATAGAAACCAAACACGCAATTCGGCCTGGAACGACGCGACTTACTTAGAGAGAAATGATAACGAGGACTTGAGATGAAAAGGAAAAGCCCTCGGCGCGGCGATCGGCATGTAACACATATTAGCGCCTACAAGACTGCATGAATACTTCACGCATTGTGCCAAACACAGTGCAGTCTGCGTGAAACGCATTGCGCCTACAAGACCGCGTGAATTCTTCACGCGTTGCGTCCAACACCGTGCGTTCAGCAGCGGTCGGCGTGAGACCCATAGCGCCCACAAGACTGTCGGAATACTTCACGCATTGCGCCAAACACGGTGCGGTCTGCGCGGCGCGGCGGCGGAAGTTAAAATCATTGATCCACATTTATGTTTGTTCTTTCATAATTTTTTCGTTCATTTCTTATGAATGGAAGGCCTTATCCACACAGAGATAGGTTTACGGAACTTAACTTTCGCGCAAAGTTCCGTAAACTTTTGCTAGTAGTGTTGACAGGGCTTTCCCAAAAAATGTGTTCAACACGCGTAAATGCGTCTTATGCACCCCTCTCCCGCCGAAACGTTCATTTGATGGTTTTTATCGAGTTTCAAAACGAATGAGAAGGGGGCGGCAAAATACAGGCGGCCCATGGGCGGCAAGTAGGTGAATCCGGCTATGGGAGGACCGGGAATACTAACGAAGATGAGACTTGTATGTTTTGTGTACCTTCGGGATGGGACACTCGAGAGGAACACCTAAAGTTTGAATAAATGTTTTGTCATCATCCGACATCCGGTTAAATCCTTCGCACATGTCATCTTCGTGGCCGACTAGCTGCTGATTTCCATCCTTCGTGATGTTCCAGTCAACCTAAAAAAATCATATAACACCGATGCATTAATTACACAGGCCACATTAAACGTAAACAAGGTGTTCATTGATAGCTTCACGATCGAAGAAGGGGGTACGATCTATATCAGCATTATTGATAAAAACTATGAATTCAGACGGTTACTTCATACTTACTACACCCCAATGGGCGCAATTAGCAAAAAAGAACCAGTGCGATTGCACTGGCGTAAAAAAGTTGCTCTTCCATAGTCAATTAGTCATCCAAAACATTTCCCAGAACAGCAAATTTTGTTTATCAAATAATTGTTCATTTTAATGAAAAATAATTGTGTAAACTTTAATACCGTACAGTAGTACAGTATTGTGTAGTGCTGTGCAGTACCGTGAGTATTTTTAAAGGAAAAGAAGAAGTTGCACAATTTTGAAAACACTGTAATCGCACTGGTTCCTTTTTGCTAAATGCGATCCAAGTATAGTTACTGATAAATACTGCTCCTCCCTAGCAAATCCCTACTATCTATGTATAATTGGATCTTCTCAAAAAAGATGAGTCAGCAGATAAAGTGAAGAGTGCACATATACATGCTTTCAAAGATCTCTACGTGAAAACTATGGTTTCATTTACAACAGTGTTCTCAAAACCTGAGCGTGGCGAGTAACTTGATGTCTCAAGCCGCAAGAGGCACCTTTATCACAGAAAGACGGCTTATCCTCCACCAAAAAATGATCGATTCTGACTTAAGGGTATGAGGGAGAAAAAATGAACGACACAAAGGTAAAATAATCTAAGAGATGGACTGTGCGAAACCTCTCGAAGACCGCGATGAGCCAATGCTGACATGAGAGCGTTGACTGTGGTTTCCTTGAGTGCCTTAAATTGGCCGCGTAAAGCACATGCATCAAGTAACCTACTTAAAAATGAAAATGAATTTCATTCGCAAATTTTATCTCAGAAAACATATTTTTAAAGGAATTCTTCATAATTTTACTAATAGATTAAATTCGACAGTAGCGTCAAGGTCAAGACCTATTAAGGAGGATCCTTTGCAGGAGGCTATTTTTAGACACTTTAGCATATTTTCGTCAGGTTTTCTTTTGCACATTTAGACTGGGAGTCCCAACTAAGCTCATGAACTACCCCAAGCCAATAAGAGGGCTAGAAAAGGGATCCATGAGCACCTTTGAAGCCAACAGTTCTGACTTGAAGAAGAGTCTACACAAAGACGCGCGTTACCTTTCGTAAGTTTGCCCAAAAATGGCATTCGATGGAACAAGGCTCGAAGCTCAACTTGAATTCTCTTTGTTGTGGGCTTTGTGGTGTATTTTTTAAGCCCAACTGCGCCTCAAACCTCCTTTCGAAAGTTAGCATTGGAATGTATGACTTGCCTGAATGGGACCTTTGATCTCGTGTGGAACTTCCATGCAGCCGTGCAGTTTGAAAGTGCACTTGTCGGTGAGGATCGGAGGTTTATGTTCGCTCAGGATCATCTCGTTCCCCTCCTTGGGTCGTAAGTAATCCTCCGTGTACGTGTATCCATCCTGTAAGTCGAAATAATGAGCATGGAAGCATTAAATTGACATTGAAAGAACTTCAAATGGTCGTATTTCCTCGAAATGGAACATCTCATGAAGTTAGAAGTGACCGATGGACGTGCTACTCTCATGAGGACAGAATGAATTTCTTGGAGATTTTTTTCTATTAAGTTGACACGCCCAATGCACACTGGGGAAAAAAACACATTGGATCTAGAGCCCAGACTCTTAAAAACATCGACAAGAAAAAGTACTCTTGATTCAATCAGAATCTTGCTTAAATCAAGAGCTAAGCCTCTTAATTTAAGCGGATTTCATTTTGATTCAAGCAAAAATCCGATTGAATCAAGAGTATTTTTTCTTATTGTCAATGTTTTCAGGAATCTGGACTCTAGACCCAATGTGTTTTTTTTCCACTGCAACAGTCCCTTAAGCCCCTAAAAATTATTAGAGGCTTTCCTCGTTAGGTAAAAACTGTAATTTTAAAAGTAAAGGCCTAATTTGTTGCATATTTAAGGGAATAATGCGACATTATCATTCATTTCAACTTCGTTATGGAAAATGAAGTCAATGTCAACTTATCTTCAACATAATTCTAGGCAAAGAGCACACTCCCTTATCGCTTCGCGGTACAAGCGTTAAGTAAAGCGTTACTCTTTTGATTTTATTTAATAGAGTATGAAAAGAAACATTACTACTGACACTCACACTAACGTTCACACAAAACTTTGCCAGTGGTAGCACCTAACACTCATATCGACGGTGAAACTACCAAACCACGTATCTCGGTTTGCGACGTCGCAGACTTCCTGTCATACTTTATTTTTTAAATGAAAAACTACTCAACGTCCAGTCTTGAAAATTTCTGTGATTTTTCCTCTTTGTGCGTAGAAAATTCCGTGAAAATTTCAAGGAATGATATTGATTTGGTCTACTTCAAAAAAATAAAATGTGAGCGTAGATTTTTAAACACCGCAAACGAGATACGTGGTTTGGTAGTTTCACCGTCGATATTGACGTTGACGCGGGTATTGGCATCATTAACTCTGACATTGACCGTGACGTTAATGTTGAACCATAAAAGTGATAATCAGACATTCGCACTAAAATTAACTTTGAATGTTGACTATTCTTTCTTGATAAAATCAGGTTGAGATATGTTTGAAAAAGCTTCATCCTACAGTTTACAGAGTTCATCCTACAGTTTACAGAGGTATATAAATTTTAAGTTCGAGCTATATTTTTATATTTATTCCTGTAAATTATGATAGTGGTGGCNGGGGGGGGGGGGAAGACTTAAAATGAGAGTGTTGGCTGAGTTTTAGTTTACAAAACCGATTCGCTCATGGTAATGTAAATTGAAAACACTTTCTGAGATAGCAAACTGTCAAATCATTGCCCCCTCCCCCTTTTTGAGAGTTGTGGAAGAATTTAAAAACTAAAAAACAAGTTCGTCAGACTGCTATTTTTCAATGATAAGGAATTTGCATACACCGCATTAATTATTGATCCATAAAAAGAAAACTGAAAATTACGAATATTTTCACGAACAAACGTCGTATTTTGGATTCTTTCTTGTCGAGCGTGCCACAGTTGGAACATGCCATACCGCTCGATTGTAACCACATGTGTTGTCCCTAGAGTGCTAATTACTTTCTTTGGATTTAAAAGTATGGCAGCGGTGGGATTCGAACCCACGCCTCCGAAGAGACTGGTGCCTTAAACCAGCGCCTTAGACCGCTCGGCCACGCTACCGTGTAATCAGCGGTTTCTCTTATCAATCACATAGGTAGGTTATCACATTCCGTTGGAAATGGGCCAGTGGCGCATGGCGGTGGCCGGTGCAGTGCGTAGGATGAAACTTTGGAAAAACGGATTGGAGTGGGGGGCTTAGGCAAACGGGGCGGGGTCCTCCACTGGAAAAGTTTTGTACATTAGGTATACCCGGAACGGCTCAACGGTAAATTATGACCTGTTAATGAGAAAATCGTCCAAGTTGGGGAGGGGAGGCGGAGTCCCTCTCACCTCCAGTAATGTACACGTCGTCGCGTCCCAAGAAAATTTCCAACTCTGGAATTTCATCAAATACTCAGAGAGATAGATAAAATTTGAAAATTTACTGGGTTTCAAATTCTTTTGATGAAGACGCCGCAGATTTCCATCATTTTTAAACAGGGAACTGATCAAACTACCAAGTGTTCGCGAAGTTTTGTGTGTTTTGAAGTTTTTCACATCAAAATTTTTCACGTAAATTTTTTATGTCAAACTTTTAAATGTAATTACATTAGATTAAATGCTACACAATTTCGATTTGAATTTTCATTTTCAAGCACTAAAAATCCATTACGTGAAAAAGAGTTGATTATAAATTTTGCAGACATTTTTTGGTAAAATGTTTAGATGATTTTCTTATAAAAAATAAAAAAAGATCAGTTTACCAATCTAGAGGAGAAAAATTTCCCATTAGCCGCTAGGCTTTCGGCAAAATCTCTACACACTTTACATCTTGCCTCATGTTATAGATGTAAGAATACTGCAATGTAATACTATTAATGTTGTTACATGAGGATTTAAAATTCAATAGTCAACTTTTGAACGTTTACGCGAATGAATCCACTCCTCAAACAGCCTTTCTAAACAAAGTCTGGGGAGTTGCACTTTTATTTGAACGAGTCTTCACGTCCAAAAAAATTTTAACAATCCGCCATGACGGCTATATTGGAACAAGAAACATTAGAAATAGTAGCTGGGGAATTGTTCATGCATTAATAATTCAAGTTAATTCAGATCGGAGCTCCCTTGCGTGCTGTCAGGAGCACGCTATGAGCGCCTTCATTTTGACAGTATGCAAATGCGCTCTCACTTGTGGAGATTCTTTCTCTCAGGGTAAGACATTGAATGATGCATATCATCAGTAAAGGTGGAACAGCCATTATGCGTCGAGATGACTTGCTGGGGATATTTTACGTACGAGATGAGAATCAGTTGGAACCTGAAATTTTCACATTTCTAGAAGCAAAATGTTTTTCCAAAATAGTCCATACTACTTTCCAGTTGCATCGTGCATCCTTTTAACATGAGTCGAGATCACTTTTGATGTTGTTTCGATACTTTTGATGATGAACTAGAATATAAGAATCAAGAATCTCCGCTTGTAACAGTGCACTAAAAATTTCCAGTTATTATGTATTAGTGAATAATCAGGGCTATGATGGATGGATTGGTAGACGGATGGATACAATTTCATTATTCTCGTATGTATGTGCACTTATCTTCATCGAGTCAGTAGATCCAATTACGCACAAAATGACTTCCGCATTATCTTTTTCTTTTTTTGCATGACAGAATTCAATTAAGGTTCTGGAGCTTAATTCAAATCAAAATTTACCTATCTCTTCCAGCACAAGTCGAACTTATAATTTAATTGATTGAGGATAATGAAAGTTCTCTTTACAAATCCAATTATATTTTTCCCATGGACCGGACGTAAATTATTTCATCCGCACACAGCGCGAAAAGAAAATTGTCACCTCTCGTCTGTTGATACTCTTGATACATGTAGAAATAGCAAATAGTATGGGTGATGTCACATCATTATGATTATTAGAGCTTGGTCGCGAAAAAACATGTATTACCACAGAAAGTTCACTTAGAACCTAGTTTACAAACATCTAAAAAAATTAATAGCTACATTTCGTCGCTTGTTTTGTGTAACAGATTTTTGCGACTCACTCGTTTGTTACTCGACTTTTTCGCACATTCACACACACAGTTTCCTGATACAATTCTAATTGGATTGCATTTTGCAAAAAGGAACCAAGAGCATTCAAATTTTGCTAAGATTGGGGCACCCTTGTTTCCTTGCAAATATAAACTGATCATCTAAACAAGTTTTATCTTTACTCTCGATAAACTATGAATTCAAGACGAAAATCACCTTTATAAATTTAATTGTTCCCATAATTTCAGTAATTGTATGCACAGAATGTAAGTTGCACAATCCTAGCAACACTGGAATGCTCTTGGTTTCTTTTTGCAAAATGCAATCCAAATATCCTAAATTGTAATTGGATTGCATTTTGCAAAAAGGAACCACTAGTATTGCAATGATGCTAAGATTGTGCAACTTCATCTTTTGCAATAAAATTGCGGATATTGTGAAAAACTATGAAATTTAGATGGTAATTTTTGTCTTAAATTTACAGTTTTTAGCGAGTAAAATAGAAACTATTAAGGAATAATCGGGGTTTTCCTCCAAGACAAAAGAAGTTGCACAATCTTAGCAACATTACAATGCTAGTGGCTCCTTTTTGCAAAATGCAATCCAATTTACTGTCAATGATATAATGCCAAAAAGTAGGAGGGATTCAGAGCTGGGATGAGGGATATGACGCCTTCTACTTCCTATGCTATCACTAGCCTGTCACGATCTTAATTATGTACGGAAAAGTTCCAGCTGTTATGGAGAAAAGTAAGACTTTTTTCAGGAGGAAATGAGGAAGTTTCGAGAGGGACGTGGCTTTTCTCCTAGTTTAAAAAAGAAACTCCAAGGACTTTGCCGATCTCTTTAGACTGTGCAGCGACCCAAAGCGAAAACTTCCGAAGTTTCTTGAGCTACTCGAGGTGCATTCTGCATTTCCCCCCAACAAATATCCTTATCAAGATCTTTTCAGCGCCAAACAGCTTGATTACGGTCAGAAAAATCGTGAAAAGTCCTAGCGATCGCACATTTCAAGAATGAGGCTACTTTAATGGGCTCATTTTGATGATAAAAACTTGTAAATTAGCCAAACATAATGAGACCTGTTAAAACTGCAGGTTTGTGCGTCTATAATATCAACAATTTACGACCCTTATAATGGTTCGATGATTGATGCCAACTATCGCAGTTAAGAATACCAACAACAACGGCATAATAATATTTCCTCTCGCTTTGAAAGGTACAGCCAAGTGCTACGTTTTTGGATTTTTACATTTTTTTACTGTTTTTATCCGACTGCAGAAGATTGAGTTTCAGCCGAAACGTTTTGGTGTTACTTATGTAAAAATTAGCCGTATTATCAGCTGTTTAATTTGTTATTATTGTTAAGAATACCGTGGTGTGTTTTCAATATGATAGGTTAACTGTAACGCGTTTTTACTTATGTGCACACTAATCGGACTAATGAATCCGCACTTACGTATGGATCACATTTTGCGACAAGGCACCACCATTTCTAGCTCATTTAAAAAACAACATTTGTGCGTATGTTCCCCTATGCGTTGTTCATATGTATTGACGGACCAAAAAGAGTGGTTAATTCAAGCCGATTTCATGCACAGTACTCACTGGTGCTCTGCGGCGCCTAAATAATAAAGAGCTGTAGAGTTTATGAGGTTTCATGAAAAAATTTAAATAAAACAGGAATATCTCCTTAAATGTTGATTGTCGAACCGTGACATTTTAAAACAACAAAATATTTTTTTCTGGTTTTGCATGATTCAGTTGTCAAAAAATAATTGTAATGATCATGGCATCTGACTTACGAGTACCCACAGTACTTACGACTTGCGTTGAATCCCATTGAAACCTATTTATTTTCGCCAAAGACTACCTGAAATGTCTATTCTTTGAGCCCTCAAATTAAAAAATTGTAACAGCTGCAATTTTAGGAAGGCGACGATAAACCCTGAATTCAGATTTTTCTTCACGAATTTTAAATGTGCTCATTTAATTTTCATATAATTCCTCTTACATGGTAGGATTGAAATAAAATTTTGGTGCGATCTACTTTTGGCAGATATATATCATGAAAAATTTTAAGAGGGGAAATTTTTTCCCGTCATTTGTCTATATTTTAGTATGCATCATTGTTCCTTTTGTAACATTGGTTTACTTTTCATATTTTCGATACTGAGAAGAATGTACACATTTGAAAACTTACACAAGCAGAGATTAACGTAGGTCCGTACGTCAGAGCTACTGTTGATATCACAAAAATCACCGAAACAGACATCATATCACCACTGATAAACTTTCAAGTTCCTAACTGCAACGAGTTTCAAAGTTGAATTGCTGCAGGCCTGATGCTGAGGGTCTCTTATACGTTCAGCCGAATGAGGCTGGGAAACACGGGACATGTATCAAAGCACCGCTGTCTATTCATGGAAAATCTACTGACTTTTCCCACGCGAGCCGTGCAAAAAAGAGGGGGTTTCAAAAGAAAATCGGCAAATACCACTGTGCTGACCTCAAGTTCGAGGAGAGATGTGGTGTCCGATTGTGCAAACGTGAGTTGGGACCAATTATTGGGGCGATTATTTCATTTTGACGAGAGATGTCATTATTCCTGCATCAGGTTCGAATTGTTCCGGAAATGTACCGAAGTGGTGTGTTGCCGAATTATAAGAATTTGCACGTAAAAATATATACTTGAGGGGGCTGCAAATCAGCTCACTGTACATTCCACAACCCTGTTAAGATGAGCAAGGCCTTTGAGAATCGTGGCCTTTTGAGGAGCTTGGCTCATTGTCAGTCTCAATAATACTACAGATTTTGAGTTAAAAAAATAAAATAAAAAAAAATATTAGGTTATTAGTGATACGGAAATATCTGCATTTGAAGTTACAGCATTTACTTTTCTTTCTTTTACGTTTTTTGCTATTCTAGTCTGCAATATTTAACTGTTCCTTCTTCATGAAATTTATAAAAGAAAATAAATAAAAATTAGTATTCTCACTTAAAATATTTCAATTAAACATTATTCTTCTGATGTAAAAATTTAATCGAGTATCCTATAATTTAGATAATTTATTGCAAAGAATGCCATTGGATAGTTTTCATGTATGTAACTCTTTGCGGTCAATAGCCGTCCATTTATAAAGTCAATGATCGATCAATTTTTCCTTCTTCTCACCCTCAGTAAATAAATTCTTCGAATTCAGAATCAGCCATAATTTGAGCAAAATTGCTCGCCTTTACAACAGTTGGTCGTTGATTTTTTTTAACTTACTCGCCGAATTATAGATGGAAGTGATGGGGCATTCCATTTTCACAGGAGAATATGCAGCTTTCGCAAAATTGAGCCTAACTTTAACACAGTGAAAAGAAGTCAGTTCTCGAAGCAAATCCTCAGCAGCATGTGAAACAAACACTTCGCAACTAATTACCCCATTACCATACAACCACGGTGATGTTTCATTAACACCTAATCATAGCCTATAGTAGCCGCGGTGGTTCAACTGCATTGAGAATTTCTCATGATTGGTTTTTTTCGAGAAAATGATGTGACCTCATTGCACGTAGATATGTATGGTGATTTTCTATCACCATGAAAAAGCACGCCTTAAAATTTCATGTACCAGTGTTACGCGTCAATTCTTTAAGAATTTAAAAAAAACTATTTGTGGGAAATTACATAGTTTTGGTTAATATATTATTGGCTAACAACATTGCATGGAGAAAAATGTGTAGTCCCCTAAAAAGAATAATTTTTGTGTCTATGGATTTTGAATGAACAGTATCTCGCTCCTAAATAATTTCCAAAAAATCTGCATGTCACCATTCCTGTCAAAAAATGAATAATAAAACGCTAAATCTGGTAAAAATCGTGAGACGTACCTTAATTGAGCGTGGCTGATGTATATGTAAGAGGCCCAAATCCGTTCTACTTCCAAAAGTTCATTAGCTTTTCATTTTCCGAGTGATATGTGTAATTTCAAAATAAAACCCTGGTAAAAATTGGCGGTAGATCCTGTGTTCCAAAATACCATAGACCTACAGCCGGCTGTAAGATTTCCAATAGCTTCTATAGCCAGCTACACAATTTCTTATATCCTTTATAGCCGATGGCGACTAAGCAACAGCCAGGCGATAAAGTTTATGCTAAACGTCACTAATCACGGATGCTAGGACTTGGTGAGTTTTTGGACTACTGCTCTCTTTTTGGGCCGCAGTATCTTGATTTCTTTTGTGAGGAAAGCTCCGTACTTTTGATGGATGCCTGCTATTCCTAATATATTAGAGCTCCTTCAATTTCGTATGATACTGTGCAATACCTCTGGTGTGAAGTAGTTGGCGCGGCAGGCGGGCAGCCAGCGCGAAACGCGCGTTGGCGCCTACAAACCTAACAGGGATACTTCACGCGTTGCGCAATGCGTGAAGTATCCCTGTTAGGTTTGTAGGCGCCAGTGCGTCGCCGCTCCGCTTTGTGTCAGGCTCTAATATTTAATCTGGCAGAGTCAGCATTATTCAACTCATGATTTTGAAATGTTTGCACATCCTGTATGGATTATTCTCATTTTAATTGATGAAAAAAAATATGAATTAAAGGAAATTATAATGTGTGTTTTGTAAATATTAAGGTGGTTCCGTATCAAACTTAATGATTTTCAAAGCACACGAATTTCTACACAATTTTTTATAGCCTTCTATAATCTATGGCGAAAAAGCAACAGCCAGGCGATAAAGTATAAAGCCCGGCGATAGGAACTGTAGCCCGGCTGCATAATTTTTTATCGCTTCGTATAGCCCGGCCGTATGATTTTCTCCGCATTCCACAGCCAGATATATGATTTTCTGTAGCCTTCTTTAGCCTGCTATAAGAATTCCTATGGTATTTTGAAACGCAGCTCTTATCGCCAATTTTTACCAGGGAAGTTTCATCACATGTAGAGACTTCACATGACAGCTACAGAGATTTCACATCATGGGAAATTAAATAGATCGCATTTTGCAAAGAGGAACCAATAGCAATCCAATGTTGCTAAGATTGTCCATTCTACGTATATTCTTTGCAAGAAAATTACAAAAATCATGCAAAAATTAAATTTATAAAGGTAATTTTTGTTTTGAAATTATAGTTCATCAGGAATAAAGTATACTTGTTTAGATGATAAGTTTATAATTCCAGGGTAAAAAAAAAAGTTGCACAGTCTTAGCGACATTCGAATGCTCTTGGTTCCTTTTTGCAAAATGCAATCCAAATGAACAGTTAAAAAGAGCCTACTATGTTTTTCCTGCAATTATTACTTAATTTGTCAAAAATTTACCTCATACGATCGATTTTATTTTGAAAGATTCAGTTTGTACATATTTTACTTACAGTGATACCGAGCCATTCATATGAATTGTTAACCCTCTTGTAAACAGATTCTTAAGAAAGGACCTCGAAACTTTTGTGAAATTCAACCGAAGCATTGCACGCAGCAGCCGCGAATATGAACTCCTTCTACGCGCCGGTGACTTCCATGTTCATTTCAAACGGCGCGCTCGAATTTCACATCAGTCAAGCCTAAAATGACGTAAATACACGGTGAGTGCATCCAACTTCCTGTGCTTTCAACTATATCCAGCATTTTCACACCTCTCTGATGTGACACATTATTGAAACAAGTATGACTTCAAAATTTTGCGCTGTATTGTCAGGTGGTCACCAAATATAGCAGATTTGCTGCACTGGAAAAAAAGTTTGCTTGGATCTAGAGTCCAGACTCTTAATAACTTTAACAAGAAAAAATACTCCTAATTCAATGCGATTTTTCCTTGAATCGAAGAGCCGAGCCTCTTGATTTAGGCGGATATCCTTTTGATTCCAGCAAAAAGTCCGATTGAATCAATAGTATTATTTCTTATCAATGTTTTTAGGAGTCTGGACTCTAGATCCAAGCTACTTTTTTCCAATGATGATACAGAGAATATTTTTTTAAGTTTAGATTTTTACAGCATTATGTTGGGTAGCATTAAATCGATAGCTCTCCTGCTATTTTTACAGGATGGGAGGAAGTGGCTAGGCCCGAACTGGCCAAATCCGCCTGATACGCTCGCAGGTACGTCCCTTCTGTACGCCATAGTGCGCCTCTCTTGTGAAAAATGGCAAAAACAACGAAAACTAATTTTATTTAGATCAATTTTCATATTTATACTCAACGAAATTAATTGACTTTGGACCAAAAAACAGTGTTATTTGGCGCTGAGAGGAGTCTAATTTTTCAACGTCTTCCGGGCCTCCCTTTCTGTGGGAGGTCCCCCCCCCCCAACCTCTTAGATGGAATATCACATTAAGCCTCCTTCGCCGGCTACAAGTGTACAGGTGCACACAGGTCTACACCCATAGAAGTGTTCATCCGTCCTGCTGTCTTCAACTATTTCGCTACTGCAGCTAACAATGAGATATACGCACACTGGAAAAAAAACACATTGGATCTAGAGTCCAGACTCGTAAAAACATCGACAAGAAAAAATACCCTTGATTCAATCAGATTTAAGCTTAAATAAAAAGGAAATCTGCTCAAATTAAGAGGCTTGGTTCTTGATTTAAGCTTAAATCTGATTGAATCAAGGGTATTTTTTCTTGTCGATGTTTAAGCTTAAATAAAAAGGAAATCTGCTCAAATTAAGAGGCTTGGTTCTTGATTTAAGCTTAAATCTGATTGAATCAAGAGCCATTTTTCTTGTCAATGTTTTCAAGAGTTTGGACTCTAGATCCAATGTGTTTTTTTCCAGTACAATAGAGAATTTGCAGGTGTCTGAAATTTTGTAAATTTCACATTTAAAATGAAAATACTAAAAGAACTGAGCACCAGAATATCCTTGATTTCTAATTTGAAATAATTCCTTGAGAAAATGTGACATTATAATCTAATCTGCTAAAATTCATGTGTTTGGCGGAAAATTCCGCCAGATGGCATTACAAGGCAGCACATTTTCTAACTTTTCAATCCATTTTCCTACAATTACCCATTACAGAAAAAATTACGATACATACTGCGCACTCGGCTCATTAAGCACTCTTAGATGAAGCAATAAAAATTGTTGGCGCAAACTCTCAATTGACAAATGACACTGACATCCCACGATCAACGCTTCTTAATAATGCCTCACCGTCAAAATATTATTCGGCCAATCTCAATCATTGATTTGTTCACAATCAGAAAAATCGGTACTCACGATCAGCTCAGGTGGGAACCCCCACCAGCGCCCCCTCCCCCCGCACAAACGTGAGTAACGGTCCGATTCACCTGAATCCTCGGATGAGTCACCTTCTTCGTGAATGAAGCGCCGGGAAGGTAGGCCGCCCGCCAGGCAGCGAGGGGCCCCGACGCGGGTCGTGGTGGGGGCGACGACGGCAGCTGCGGCGCACACCGGTTCGAGTCAAGGAGAGGTCGGACAAAATATGGAAACTTTAAAGCTTATAACTCTGTTAATACAAAACTTTGAGGTTCTAAAAGTGGTTCCATTGGTTTCCTCGTGAGATTTTCTTCTTGATGCGCCCCTTAAAATTCAAAATGTGACGAAATAAACATCAAAATTTGCGTCTGTTTTAGTCTTAAGTTTCATGTCCGACCTCTCTGACTGACTTGATCCTCTGTGCGTCGCGGCGCGGCGTGGCAGAGGCCTCAACCAGTTTCGGGCCACGACGACGTCATTCCGACGACGGAGACTCAAGAACGTGGCTTATTCCTGCGTTGCCCAGGTAGGCATCCGGGAGTCACCCACCTTGGGGTCCCTATCGGGGAGTAAGTCATCGCGCGCTGGAATGGGAGTCCCGCCTTTGACACTGTTGTTGCTCCTTTGCGCATTATCGCTCGCGCTTGCGGGCACACGAGAGGTTCAGACCTCTCTCCAAAGCTCAATTTAGGGCTACTGCAGCTACAAACTGCTGCAACTCTTGATAAAATAAACGTGTTTTTTTTAAAAAAAAAAAAAAAAAAATCGAAAGCATTTCTGCCATCTCCAGCAAAAACGCCGTGACTCCATTCTGGATGTGTTCAGCTTTTTACCGACAAAATGTATATTACTGGAAAACTATCGAAAATTCTTAAAGTCTAAATTCCGATTCTAAATTCTTGTTTCAAAATTTCCGTTCTTAATTCTAAAATAGCTGTGGTATACTATTGAAATGTCAAAGTAATAAAATAAAGCCTCATAGCGATCAGGTTTTTCCGTAATAGAACAGTGTGTGTTGAAGAAAAATGCGAAGTATTGATTGGAGTTACGGCGTAATTTCTATGAATTGTAGATTTGTTGAACGTATGTCTGAACGCTTATTTGGAATTTGTGTAAATAAAACTTACCCGGTAAAAAAAAAAAAAAAAAAAAAAAAAAAAAAAAAAAAACTAAAAAGAGGGTTTTAAACTTCCTAAAAAATGTGCCCACTTTGGAAAAAAAACACATTGGATCCAGAGTCCAGACTCTTGAAAACATTTACAACAAAAAATACCCTTGATTCAATCGGACTTTTGCTTGAATCAGAACGAAATCCGCTTAAATTAAGAGGCTTGGTTCTTGATTTAAGCTCGATTCTGATTGAATCAAGAGTACTTTTTCTAGTCGATGTTTTTAAGAGTCTGGACTTTAGATCCAATGTTTTTTTTTTTTTTTTTTTTTTTTTTTTTTTTTTTTTTTTTTTTTTTTTTTTT